GATCGCTCATGTGCCTAATTATATGAAATGAACGTAGCTAAGTTCCTTATGTTGCCTGATTGCAAGCGAATTGAATTAACATTTCGAACTATATTTTCTAATATTTTATTATAAAATACTATATTTCCCCAAAGTAATTTCAAATCAATTCACCTCTGAACCCACTTGTACGTATTTGTGTTTAGTCTTACGATGAGTATGGAATCTAATGACAGGCCATAGTTTCCTTCCTCTGATATAAACTTTAGGTAAATAGAATTATATTTAACTGAATTAAACATCTCATCGTTTATAAACTAGAACTTTATCACATGATTTGTATTGATTGCGCCGACATCAAACTAATAAATCCATAATTTCCTGATTCTATTTAACATTATTATTATCAAACGCAAATAACAGTTATACATTTAAATGAATAGACTAATTGCTTTACTCTTTTCGTTTGTTATAAATTTCTATTTATCAGAGATGAAAGATGATTACGAAAATTCTACACACATGGATAATAATATATCAGCATGGAATCGAAAATTGAATGAAGTTATTTCTACCGATCTATCAAGTAAAACTTGGGAAGGTCCATTTTATTATGATGTATTCATTGGCAGTATTATTACTTTACCATGTGTAATAAATGACAGTAAAATTGAAAACATTTACATTGCAAGGAATACCACAACTAATAAAGAGAAATCATGGGCATTATTATGGATTCATAACACATGGACAAATGTTATTGATCCTTGGTTAGGTGATGGGAGACGCAGTTACAATCCATTAGATAATAATCGTTGGGAAATACACAACACTGATTTATCAATAAGTCAAGCATATTTGTCAATTATAGATATTGATCCAACTGATGTTGGAGTTTATGCATGTGTTCTGGTTACCTATCCAATTCAATTTGGTTATTCACCAGTTGATTTAAAACAAACTCAACTATTAAGTGTTCATATGGTACGAGTTCACTCTAACTTTATAGTAGCACCAGAATGCCAAGATGATGATGATTTGGAGAATGGAAATTATTGTAAAACTGGATTTGAACCATGGAGATTTAATGTTTATTATCCAATTGATGGATGGGCAAACAGTATCTTATTCCATGGTAGGCCAAGTCTATAAATGGTTATTAAAATGTATTCATTATTTTAGTGAATTTGGATTGTGGTTAGGAGTGCAGTCTAAGAAATGCATTTTTTCTGGCTTGCGATTCGTCTGTTGGCAGGACGTCCATTTTAGTGTTGATGTTCACTTTGAGATTCGATCCCAGAAGTTGCCATTTCAAATGTCAATAAATTACTCATCAAGATACTAAGTCCACATAGGCATTAGCTTGTCCAATTGGTGTAAATTTAATTACAAGGGTATTTGTTTTCCCACTTTTGACAGGAAAAACTGCAATTTATTAGTCTCTATTGCCATATGTGCATCCTGAACAGATAGCCTCGAGATTATCAGTCGCATAAAATAGTTATCGTTCATTTAAAAATAACTCAGTGAATTTGAAACAAATAAATCCACATAGAATCCGAGTATTTCAAATCAATGGTGACTATCTGATAACAAGACTACGATCAAGTCACAACTTCACGTTTGTTTGTACATATCAATAAGCACGGTGTGAATTGGATTACAGAATTTAATACAGTCGTTTAAAAATTTGTAGATTTAAGGGATTGATCTTTTTGCCTTTTTTTGTAACACCCTGATATTTTATTCATAGCTCTCATGACGCGCGATGTCTCATGCTGATATTAATACACAAACTTCATATATGCAAATGTCAAGCCAGCTACTAAGTGAAAAGATTAAGAGTGGTCCATAACATGCATTTATCATTTAAAATATTTTTGATTGATGCAGCGTGGGCTTCTCATTTGGTCAATTTCGATTAACCCATTGTATCAATAGCAATTTGCGTATTCATAAAAGTTTTACACGGATAATTTATTTATGATGGGAAAAAGATGTTAACCCTCAATTTATGAGACTATTACTGACATTCAATAAGACAGAATTAAACAAACCAAATCAAAATTAATTATTGTATCATTATGTTTTGAATTATTAATAATAAAAGGGTTCTATAAGAGAAATCAAAAATAATACCTTTGTTAATTAGTGATTTTTTTCAACTTGGAATGGAAACTGAATGCAACAGTAGTTGGAATCAATAACGACAAAATAGAAAGATTTGAATGAGAGAATTTTAAACACAATCCGCACTAGGACCTAAAACCACCCAGAGAACCAATGAAAGAAACAAAACGAGAACGCTCAGATCTGTTTCGTCATAGTGGGGGATTCATCAACTGGTGGACATAATTTACCAACAGATGAGTTTCCCGATGAATAAGTCTCTATCCCATCACACATACAGTCTCGGTAGGGCTATAATCAAAACAGGTAAATATAGATATTGGCAATAATTGTTTCTAAAATACAAATAAATACGATTAGTACAAAAACGCAAAATAGTAGTTAATTACAAAAGGAACTATAGCCACACGCCCACCGAATGGGATTAGGGACACAATAAAATGAATCCATGAAAGGATTACTCATGTTTAATAAAGGGCTGGTACATTTTTCTAATTGAGATTTAAATTAAAAAGGGCAATAATCAATAACTAATCTGAGGTTAAATGAGTTTTAAATAGCAGGCGTTTAGCAGAAAGATTATTAATTGCTTCACAGTTGTTCATCGAGATTAACATCAACTATTCTGTATTCCATAATTTTCATTAGTTTCCCAGTTGACAGCAATTTGTGACGAAAATGAACTTTAGGATGTACTTCCTAACATAATAACGGGGGAAATGATATAAAATCAAACAGCAGTCACAAAAGAGATTTACAGTATTGTCATGAGAGAAATATCCTATAACGTACACACCTATCAAATTGAATAGCTAAATCCAAAGGGTAGCAAGGCGTTTTAAAAAGTGCTTAACCAAATTTGTGTTAGCCTTCAGTAGTAAAAAGTAAACTAACCACCTCTTCATTTCTTTCAGGTAATGACAATATTCACATGTAATGATTGGCCATAAGGATGCTGGAGAGACATGCACAAAACGTATTTAAAGCGCTTTTCAGCACAAATTATGTTAAAAATAACAAATCATTTCAAAGACAGTAGGGTATTCGACAGGAGAAAGATATTCACGGATAGTTAGTGTCCAAAATTATAAAACAGGGATAAATGAAAATTATTTTTGAATTGATTTTTTTTCATATATTTTCAGTATCTGACCTTTCTTACTTTTATTGGAAATTTCAGCTCCATGTAATGCAGATATTTTTCTAACAGCTGTAACAATGAATAATGTAGATCCGACATTTTGGAGTATTGGTTGGAAATTCATACCATATGGTCAAAGTGATGATACAAAGGTTGTTGAAATGAATGAAAACTCTAATATTCAACTGTTACAACCATCTTATAGATGTCTTGAAAATTCTCCCATTAATCTATCATTTGTTAAATTCAATGAAAATGTAACTAATCTAGATAAGCATAATTTATTAACAAAACAGATTCATGCATCAACCTATTGGAAGGCTCATTGGCTTGTTTTAAATAGTTCCATGAAACAGAAATCAGGAGCATGGCAGTGTTGGGTTCAAAGATCAATTCATGAAAATCACGCATTCACAACTGGCATTCCCCATATTCGTTGGTTAACAAATGAAGTACACGTGAAAATTATACCTAGAAAATATACTTATCAATTGGAGCTAATAATCGAATTATGGCGTATTATTGCCTTAATTATGGCTCCATTAGATATTTGTCTGTTATTCATACTATTCACTGTTGGGTGGTATTTAGCCCATTATCATGAAAGCACGTCTAAGTCGAGGGGGAAATCAAATAACCTACGCAATGTAAAAGAAAGTTCAACACAATTCATTCAAGAGCAGCAAAATTCTGATGAATCTGAACAAATATTTATACCAAATCAGTATGTAGATGAATTTCTTCGAAACTCTGGTATTAAATCGTACAAAGAATATGTTATTCGTAGAAATAAGAAAAGGACCGTTAAATAATCGTATGGGTTTTAATTGAGAATACTTTGTGTAGAGTTAATATATGAAAAGAAGCATCTATATTACATAGAACACTGGTAAATTGTTAGAAAGTTGGTGAATCTAACAAAACATTATATTTAGTATTAAGCGTTTACTTTTATCATACTCAGCTGCACTTTCTATGGTTAATTTTTTATTCTCATTGATATTATCTTGTAAATACCTTTCGATCTTACCGCAAACTATACATTGATGCATTGTACTGTACTGTACATCTGTGAAAAAAAGTACTACAAGTGAATAATTTAGGATGTTTTTCACAAACTTGTAACTTGTCGTCAGACTATCAATAAAGTAGCACTCAGGTTACACGCTGAGTTATAGGCAATAAAGATGAATTGATTTAGAGACCATTTTTTATAAATGAGTAACCGAGATTCAGATCTGATAAGCTAAACTAATCAAGCACACAGTAAATCTCTATACTTTTAATATTCTGATTCAACAAAGTAAACGAAATTACATTGTAACCATGCATAAAATAGTAATCCTTATATTAAAGGGCTGTAAATTATTATGCATAATTAATAAGGTTTTGTAGAGCATGACCATAATAATTTAGATACCAACAGATGAGCGCAATGTTCATCCCACAAAGAATGTTAGAAAGTCATATTAATGCTAATCAAGGATGTTTCGCTAGTGTGTATTTTATACGTATTTATAGTAAATACTGTCTTAATTGCTTTAATCTCAATAACTTCCTTACTCGGTAAAAACCTATGACAAACTGTGTGTATATCCGACGTATTATAATTAAAATTAGGTAGACAAAACGTTGATCAGTAGAAATGTTTTTCGATGAAAAATATTTCTTAATGATATTCAATTCTAAATCCAATATTATCAATCCTATCACAATGAGTATTTACAAAAACAAGAAGAAAATCCTTTTTAGTATCCCTGTAATTTTAGGTGTTAAATTGGTTTATTTTCCAAATTATTGTTACATTCTCCCATTCTAAGCCAATATAGTAACTTGATACAACTATGTAAACAGTAAAATTTACAATCATAAATCTCTTAAATTAAACTAGTAATAAATACTTTTTAATAAAATGTGACAGTATATCAAAATACTTCAGTTTGTTAGTTACAGTGAAGAATTAATGGATAGAATTCATTTAGCTAAAATAAGCGATATAACATAACTGTTTAATTGCTTCAATAGCTATTTAATATAAATAAAACAAATGATACAATATAAATAGAAGCATAGTTTATTTTCATTTAATGATTCTCTAAAACAAATGAAATTGACAATAGATGCATCTCAATGAAAATTGTAAAGAGAAAGAGAGAACTAATTTTCTTTTACACTTTATCATAGTAATAACGAAAATATAAATAGATGATTAAGAAATGTAAATTTGTACAATGAAATAAGTCAAGTCATTTTTATGTACACATACACATAGAAATGTAACATGACGACGATGTTAAAAAAAAACACAGTAGAATTTGTTAATTTTAAAAATTCAACAATGTTGGTTTAATGTCAAGTTGTAAATTTTTCTCCCATGTAGATAATAGTTTAAAAACAAAATCTAATTAAGGTTATAACAATCAACGATTTTTATTTTTAAAACGTATCTAGAAAATTAGTAACAGAGATAAATGACAAATTATTATGTGTTTTTTTTTAGATTTTACTGATAGTTACCACAGTGACAAGACTAAGATCAGTTTATAATTTAAACTATGAAAATCCTACAAACCCTATTGTACTAATAATGATTATCTGTTCACTAGTGATTAGATTAAAGTCCTGAAGTTCTGACGAGAAGTTGTAACTAGTAGAGTTTAACCATGTTGGATATGAAACAGTAATTCATCACAATCAATGGATGGGGGTTACGTGATATCGTAAATTGATTAAAGTTAGGCATGTATAACATTGGTTGCCGACACGGTAATCTAGAGGTTAGACGTTCACATGCAAAACCGAAAGTTATAGGTCCGACTATCGCAAGCAGAGACAGAGGGGTTTTATGCTAGGGCGAAACGGTCAACCATCACTTTCAATTTTCAATGAAGGCTTAATTAAGATTAGTTTATGGATTAAGCATTGAAAAGACGTATATATGTCTACTAGAAAATCTTCACCTAAATGTCAGAATTATTAAGATTTCTGTCCAAAGAAACGAGTATAAAGTTTTCTCTGTTGATCGATAAATAAAATGTAAGTGATCCTTTCATTTGTTCAACAAAGAAAGAAAGATTAACTGAAGGCTATACAATCAATCTGTTTATGTTCGAATATACAACGTTAACAACCATTAGAATAATACAAAAATCTGGGATATAAATATATTCATATTGTATTATGCTTAATTGTAAAATTAATGACTGTTAACATATTGATAGGAGATAGGATAGAGCTAAACACTATAAATAACTAGCTGAAAGTTAAGAGTTTAGACCGATGAGGCAAGTTCTATAACATTTAACACGCACAGAACTTTACTCTCTCTATCATTTTATAATTTAAAACAATAAATGTGATCCAAAAAAACACCAGTGATATGAATTACATTTTTAGCATAACCTGACACTTTTTAATTATTCATCTAATTAAATGAATGCTGGATACGCGAGTAGAATAGATGTTCTGTCTTGTAGATCCAACACAAGTATAATACAAGCTGTTCGGTAAGCAACAGATAACAGAATAGTTTAGTAATTCCAGAGCGATTGGAATATACTTTAATTTCAATATTACATGAGCCTGCAAAGTGAGATTAGACATTGACGTTATGCTTAAACTACACTGACTCATTCAAAATGTATCAAACAAGGACTACTAAGTTTAACAAACGGTTGAAACGTTGAATTTTCTAGAACTAATAATAGATACTTCCAATAACACGGTTCAATATATCAGATATGAGATGCGAATTCCTTTATTCAGTAGTCATCAACACTACACTTTTATGGTAATTTTACAGGAACCTTGTGAATGGTTTTAACCGAGTGTGAAGCGATGATAATTTAAAGTTAATAGAAAAACCGTAATTTTAACGATTTGATTACAGGTTGAAACACCGTACCACATTTATTTAGATTTGTATCATTATATTCTCAGAAAAATTGTAGTTTAAAGTGGAGTATATGAACTTCTAGGTAGTTCTTAAGTTGCATACTGAAAAAAATTATTCACTTGCTAATAAATTTTAAAAGACCTTAATATTTCAATTCAAACAAAATCCCAAATATTTTTTTAAGCAATAAAGGATATCTATCACTTAGCAGATCGAATGTTCCAGTTCCAACTCTAGTTGGATTCCCTAGAATGATGTTTTCCGTAACACCTAGACAATTTGAAAAACAAACCAAAAGTTAAATAAAATAAATAACAAAGAAAATATGAAATCATAAATTGAATTAGTAAATTCGAAATAATAAAGGAGCAGTTAATGAATGGATGAATGAAATGTGACCAAAAGGTTATAATTTTTGCTACGCTAACAGACAAATCATGGATTGGAAGCCCACTCCATCCACTTCGGTTCTCTACGAAGCGTGTAGTATCATCACCCTTCATATAAGTAGTGTGGCAAAAAACTAAGTATATAAGCACGAACTTCATAAACGAGTTGTATTATTTATAAAAATCAATTTACTTGCTCTGCTGAATACAAACTAATAACTTGGCAGAGACACATTTACAGGGTTAATGGGTCTTAGGTTCAACATTCCAATCAGTGTTTTAATACTAAATTAACCTCCGAAACACTCTCAACTAAATAAAGAGGATTTTCTAAACTATCAAAACATGAATGAAAGCAATTAAATCATAAAAAATAAATGTATTTAAATATAACACCCACCAGTCAATTGATCATCTTGACAATGATAGGCAGCTTCAAACAAATGATCACCAGTTCGTTCAAACTATAAATGAAAAGGAATCAATAAAAATTTCTATTGGACAATGAGGATTTCAAAAGACTAAAGTCGAGTTTAACGAGGACAATACTATCGAAAAACATCTCAAGCTAATGTGAATGAAGATTACTGGAACTGATTTCCATACTTTATTGTGCACGAAATCGAATACTACTTATTACCTTAAAGTAGATTGTAAAAACCATGGATTTTTTAGAATGACATTTAAAATAGATGAGATCATAAAATATACATCAAAGAAATGAAAAGTAAAATAACACTCTTACAGAAGCTAAACAAAGTACACTATTTTTCGCTTTCGCCATTCCAGTTCGCTGATAACCGCATACTTCACCCTAAAAACATAAAAACGTAATGAATAATTAGTTCTACATCTGAAAATAAAAGCATTTGACAGTAAAGTGAATAGTATTAGGAGAATTGTTTAAAATTCTAATTCATATATATATATATATATATATATATATATATATATATATTGGTTGTTTGAATCTTCTCACTAATGTTTAGGATTGTAATCGACCAATCTCATTTGGCACATCCTGTGCGGATATTGTCAGTAGGTCACAAGGTCCAAACAACCAATGAATATATATGGACTAAAAATTGCACAAGCAAGTAGTTATCTGGGCTAAGTAACTAAGTGGATAATGAGATGGCGTTTGAAGCGAATATTACTGGGTCGGAGTGCCGGACTGAACATCAACACTTGGATGCAAATACCTCCAGGTGACGAGTCTCAAATAGGACGAAACGCGCATCCTGGATACTAATGCTAGCCATCATCCATTCATTTATAGTGTTTGAAGATAAACCATCATCATAAAAAATAACTAACTTACGGATTGTTTGTTGAATTACGATTGATCAATCCATTCATTCAACTACTTTTAAAAGTCAAGAGTTTGAACAGTGATCCAATCATCGAACATTAGACATACATATACTATTATGATGTACTTTTAAGTATATTTATTTACTCTAAATTATATCTTCTGTGTTTATGTAAATCCAGAACATCATTTGCAACATATGGACTGTAAATCCCTTGGATTCATGTAGCAAGCGATATTACTAGGTTTTTCTTTCTATTAGTAGGGACTTCTGGGTGTCATGTAGTTTTCGTGTCTTTTCAACATAGAGAAAGTGAATGATTGTCTATCGTCAAATTCGAGTGTAAAATTTGTTACCTAATGCATTTATTATCAAAGATGATGAGTTGAACCCTCTTAGAAACCTACTTATCGATGGGTTTCTTATTCTCTCAAAACAATGTTTTTTGCAGCAACGATTTGTATTTCCCAACTGGCCAGTGTTGAGGAACAAACTAAAGGATAAACTCTCACATTTCTGTATTAGTCAACTCATCTGATTCTGACGAGCTAAGTATATAGGTCATTCGGTGTGTTTTATACAAGAGGATTCAAGAACATTATCCGGCCTGTTTGAAAAAGATGCAAATGTATCCATAAGAAGCTCCATAACAGAACACCTTGTGAACACAGGTTATCTGATCAAAACAGACTTAGTGCTCTAGAAAGTGGTTTTCTTAGCATTACCGAAGTATTTGTTATACACCTAGAAGAACCAGAACAATGTACCAAAAAAAGACTTATCCAACATCTGCCACCATGGTGTTAATCTCTCGTTTTTTCAAAGCCATCATCTTTCATCCTACCTACTTCCCAAGCAACATTTTAGTCTCAATCGATTAGCTTTGGTATTTATGTTTTTTTAAGTTTATTCCAACTTTAACATTTTATTTTTTCTCGTCTACGCAACCCCTTTTAACAAATTTCTGATCTTTATTTGTTTTCTTGATGGATACTTAAACCCTATTTTGAGTTTGTTAATGAGAATAACATTTTTTCCTTTTGTTTATTTTACCCTTATGTTATCATGTCTAAGAAATTATTATTATCACCACCAATATTGTTATTACCTGTTTGTTAATAGGAATATTATTGGATTATTATTTTTGAAAAAGGAAGTACATATTTGAGATTATACAGAATTGAGAATGAATTCGCCAAAAATAGAACTCTACAATGAACCGATCTTTCGCATTTTTACGTCACAATAGGTATATTTCATTTACTTTGAAACTTGCAAAGAGATATAAAAGACATTTCACAACATAATTAAACTCTAACTTAACTACAAATCTAAGGTATTGAATTCTTCTCAATATTTATCCGTGAGTCAATCAAAAGAATTTGCTTTAATTTAGGAGTCATTTAAACTTATTATTATCACCATCATCTCATCAACATATTAGATATACTTACCCTATTAGTCATAACATCAGCTAACAGCATTACATGACGTACATTAACTTCGACACCGTGACCTTCCATAACGGCTAGTAATTCATCAATAACAACACGTCGAGCTGCTTCCACACCCAACACTTGTTCCACTTCTAAAATATTATTACTTTGTGTACGTTCAGCTACGACGCCTGGTATACACATTACCTTGAAGAAGAAAAATAATGCACTTTGCAGAACTAAAAAAAACTAACAAAACCACTGTTTACGAAATAAAGGAAAATTCTTTAAAACGAAGAAAAAGCATATCACCAAATTCTTGTAATCGGTTTTTAGAAAAATCTCTATTAATTAATTCATATCAGAAAGTTTTTGTGGATATTATGGTAATTTCAATTGACTCATGATCTCAACCGTTGAAATTAATTGTTTAAATATAGAAATGGATGTAATTTATTACAACACACAACCGTCAGTACCAGGGAAGGCTTTCAGCAGTGTTGTTGAACCGGATGAAAGATTCAGTAGACGCCCAACTTCGAGATCAACAAGCTGGATTCCGTAAGGATCGATCGTGCACAGGCCAAATCGCGACACTACGATAATCGTTGAACAGTCAATTGAATGGAACTCGTCACTATATACCAACTTCCTCGATTATGAGAAGGCATTTGAGTGTGGATAGGAGAAGATTATGAAAACTTCTTCGACATTACGGAGTACCTGAGAAAACCGTCAACATCATCCGGAATTCATACGACGGATTACACTGCAAAGTCGTGCATGCAGGACATCTGACATACGCATTCCAAGTAAGGATCGGAGTAAGACAAAGTTGCTTTCTCTCCCCCTTCCTCTTTCTTCTGGCGGTCGACTGCATTATGAAGACCACATCGGAGGGGAACCACGGAGTAAAATGGACAGGTTAAATGCAACTAGATGATTCGGACTATTCCATACACAACAAAAGCAGGTCAAGGCAAACTGTGTAGCAGGAGCCTCAGAAGCAGTAGGACTCAACATACATGAAGGAAAGACCGAAATCCTCAGATTCAACGCAGAGAACACCAACACAATCACATTTGATGGAGAAACTCTAGAAGTAGAAAGTTTCACTTATCCGCGTCACATCATCGATGAACAGGGAGGATTGAATACAGACGTAAATGCGAGGATTGGCAAAGCAAGGACAGCATTCCTACAGTTGAAGAACCTACAGAACTCAAAAAAACTGTCAATCAATATCAAAGTCAGTAACTTCAATACGAACGTCAAAACAGTTCTAGTGAACGGAGTTGAAACTTGGAAAACTACAACACCATCATCAAAAAGGCACAAGTATTTATAAACAATTTTGGTAGAGAACAAACCGACTCTCAGCTGAGGAGGAAATCAGGAAATGACATTGGAAATGCATAGGACACACATTAAGCAAATCATTAAACTGCATTACGATGAAAGCGTTAACTTTGAATCCTAAAGGGAAACGATAAATAGGAAGGCCAAAGAACACACTGAGTCTGGGATTGGAAGCATACATGAAAAGGAAGAATAACAACTGGAAAGGATTGCCCAGGACAGAGTTGAATAGAGAATGCTGGTGAGCGGCCTACGCTCCTCCATGAGGGGTAACAGGCGTTGAATTGAATTGTAACTTATTAACCAACTACAGGAATTTCTCATTTAGCTTCAAGCCATATAAGTTTGTGTGATATGGATAATGACAATACCTCTCAATCGTTTGCTGTTACGGGTATGAGGGCTGATGTCACTTCCCGGCTGCCCACACCGTGGAAGGGTATTTCTTGGGGAACCTGAAAAGGAAATTGGATTAGTGTTGGTCTTGACGACCTGGGAGCGTGACTGCAGAGCCCAAGGGACAACTGCTTGAGGCCGGTCGCGCACGGCCTTTCTGTGGAAGGTTTTTGACGTGTTAGCTCCGTTCTTCAAAGGGCCTTACCGCCGGAGACGGAAATCTGTGAGGTAAGGTGAGGTGTGACATTTTTAGGGCCGACCTTTTCTAACCCCACCCCTCCTTGTGGGAAGGCAGCATCGCTGTCATGCTGGTTGTCCGAGGGAAACACCTTACTGCTGTCACACCTCTCTACAGTCAGCAGTACGACTTCGCCCTCAGACCTTGAGTTGCTGCTTTTAGTCTTACCGTTCACCAATCGACCTGCCTGGCATGGTAGAACCTGGAGGAACATATGTTCCAGCCAATATAGCTCGGTTGGGTCATCACGATAGGCAAGCCCGACCACCGCGTCAAGGTAGCAGCTCCGGTCGGGATACCTCTCAACAGGCTAAAATGGAGTCAGTGGGAGGAAAGTTCAAATCTGCCACCTACCACTTAAACCCCTACTTTTTAATTAATAAAAACCATTACTCCACAATAGAAAGAAACTATTCATGTGAGTGAAAGAGAAACAACGCCGAGTTATGATAGTTCTTCAATATTAATGTTATTCTTTACAATGTTGTGAGTTATCTTCAAACCACACAGTGGTTGTGTTAACATGACGACAAAAAAAGACTGTTCACATTAATGGAGCAAGAAAACAATGACTTGAAAGGATTAAAAACGTTATATTTTTATTCACCAACTATGTTTAAAATAATCACTCACTATTTTATTTGTTTATTTATTTATTTGAACACATAAATACTGGTACAAGGAGGCACCAAATACATATGCGCCACACAAATCTCATTTGATATGTGTGAGGACTGTGATACTGCCTGGGTGCCCAAACCAAAATAGGTGGTTTTCTGAGAGGGCCACACCCTGAGACTTCGACCTGAAGGTCTGATCCACAAGGCAGTGGAGCATAGTAAGGAGATGCAGTCCCATGGTAGCCGATGACAAACGATTGGTTCATACGCCATTTGTTCCTTTAGGATACTGGAGCCCATGTGCACCAGTGGTTTGGAATCAGGGTTTTCCAACTCCCCTAGGTGGACTCTTTATGTCCACCAACCCGGTTAAAGCTCTGGACATTCGTTTGTCGTCCTCTCAATTCCGTAAACAACACCCCTGCCACGAGAAGACAGTGAGTAGGACTTAATCACTCAATAATTTTAAAACTACATTAACCGGGTTAACACAAACATAACAGATAGTTCATCTAAACATAGGTGAAAATTCAGTTTAAAAAGAATTAATCAGAAAAGAAATCAAATTAATAAAAAACTCATTAAATTTTATCCATATAGGGAGTTTGTGGGAATTTTTGGGTCTTTTAATTTACGTCACGGACTTATCCTAGTAAATCAAGCGATGGAGTTCAGCAAGTATTGAAGAGCTACTTCGGCTTAGTAAAGGATTGAATAGTCCTAAACTAAATCGAAGCAGTTGTCCAGTGTCAACTGGTTTTAACGGTTGACTGACTAGGATCAGTGTGTAATCTAAACAATAAAACTCGCGAAATTTGTCTTGCAATAAATGGAATACAAAACATACCTCACGTAATCGAGCTCCTTCAACAAAAATTCTATGTTCACCTTTATCCTGTTGAATTACAACACGAGATACGCCAGGTATGCCTTTAACAATAACATCTTCAACTAATTTGACAACTGTTTCCAATGCATTCAAATCCACTGGATATACGAATATATAATCTTTTGCATAGGTTACACGCTAAATAAAGGAAACATGGAGAAAAGGAAGGAATTGCAAGCTGGTTTTTGAGCTGCTATCAACTAGATAATAACAAAAATGGTGAATATCCTTTTTTAAAATTGCCTATAATCTAGAAAGAGAATTTTCATTACACCTTGAAAAAAGTTGGAGGAAATAACAATAATACAGAAGCATTTATTATTAATGTAAATAACATTAATAATACTAATTCAGTGAGGATTTTGTTACATACCAGTGTACTATTCTATGAGACATATTTGTGTGGCAGTTAAAGATATTATTCAGTAAAACAAACCTTGAGCAGGTGCAACGAGGTTCAAGTAGTAAATTCAAGTCCCTAAACAGTGAATTTAAAAATCTACGATTATAGAAACCAAACCATGATGGCTGAATTTTCGTAGAAGTCGTTCTTTTCACTAAATGAGGTTAGTTACTTACCGTCGAATAACTTTCAATTTCAGTCACTTCCTGAGATGGATTAAAAATGACAGTTCCTTTAGACAATTAACTTGAAATTTTATTAGAGAAAGTGTATTAAAATAAAACGAGGTTATTTATGAAGTACTCTTATTATTTTAAGAGTAAACTGAAAAATCTAGATTGTTTACAACAGTCATAGTGAACAACACTTACCGATATTTTGGTCTTCTTTAACTTAGTTGTTTGAATAGCTGTAGCGACTTGAGGTGTTGTAATCCCACGTCTATCCATTCTTTTTTTATCTAATTTAATAGCAACATATACATATTCTGGTGTTAAACACTGACTTAATGATAATGATATATCTGCTAGTCGTGTTGGTTCAATAGACAATTTAACTTGACGCGCTAGTGATGCTGAGAATGGATCAGTTAAAGTAACACAAATTAATGGTGTTTTAATTTTGGCTGCTGCATTAACAATTTCACGCATACGTGGGACACCCTTTTAAAGAAAATAAAAAAATGAAGATTTCTTATAAACCATCCAATCTAGCTATAAATCAGTCAAAAGAAAACATACATAGATATTCGACGCCCCAAGTTTTGTTTTGAAACCTACTCTAATACTAGTAAGTAGAGTGCACCTGACTAGTTAATGACCAGGCCATGCATAAAAAATTCACATAGTTTTGATAAAAAATGTAGTTTGAGCCCATAACTCAAGTAAACATTATTTAATTTGGCTATAGGATTGTTTATTGAAATGACAAAACGGAAATATCATTAGAATAGACCGATTTTGTTTCATTGTACACCAACTAAATCTTTCTCGATGAAAATCGTACATAATTGACAAAAATAAATTACAGTTATCTTATTCACATTGTGAGACAATAATCAAGCAAAGAATTTTGAAAGATGATCAAGACATTAAAAACATCTATTTAACTACTAGAAGAATACTTTAACATAAAATGAAAGTATTTGACGTTGTTAAATCATCTATAAGTTTGAAGGCCAATAATACTATACGGCTATTTCATGCTTTAATTAGGCTCAAATCGTGACTAGCTGATTGTCCTTTTTTCAACCAGTTAAAAATAGTGGAAGGATCAAGATGTTAGAAGAATTGTATTTATATCGTTGTAGTTTGAGTAATTAAAATATATACTTGTTCGATTTACATTCATGTTCTGATATGGGGTGAGTCGAGTTAAGTATAAGGTTTAACAAACACCATACAGTAGAAAATTTACGTCTGAAAAGTTAACTTACTTGTGTAATATTCATACTGGCTACACCAGCAAAGTGAAATGTTTTTAATGTCATCTGCGTAGCTGGTTCACCAACAGATTGACCACATAATGCACCAACAGCAGTACCTGGTTCAATTAAAGCTTTCTCATATTTCTCTTTAACATGTGTCAAAAATATACGTAGTTGTGTTCTAGTCAGACGTTCATTTTGATTGATTAAATTTGACCCATTTGCATTTTCTGTACACCATTCTTGCCATTTACGAATTTTCGGACAAACTGAATGGTGTATAAATTCTCTAAAACGACACAAAAAGGGAATAGGAGATCATTTTTTATAAACCGAAACATAAAAATTACACTCTTTGAATCATTGAATTACATAGTCTTGTTCGTACTATAAAAAAGTAGTAATTCACATATGTTGAAAGGAGTCTATTGGATAGGAGCCTTGTCTAAATTACTTTATGATTGTGATATTTCTAAGTAGATGACATGTACAGGTCGATAACGGGTATCTTCGAAGAAATCGACCTACGAGGTTGTGAACAATTATTGAAACGTGGTTGGAACATGTGTTACGTATACCTAACTACCGATTAGGGCGGGACTACAGTGACTAGCATAGAACTAGTCCCAAAAAGAGACTAATAGACGTTAGACAAAGAGATGCCAAAGATTCGTGAAGTAACTGACTTTTGTTGTTAGACGTGCAGAAAAGTAGTTATATTGTAGTTGAAGTCTACAAAATTACTGAAACTCATTTTTGAAAACATGAAAAGGCAGAATGGTTTACTGCTCGACTGAAGTGTTAAACACTCCTTACTTTTTGTTAGTTAATTTCATTCCAAACTTAAACCTTGATCTCCTCCATTTCCAATTTGCAATTAGCGCTAAAAATCTAACTTTCGCTTTTTGGCCTTTTATATTGTTGAAATCCTCAAATTATGCTGCTTTAAAATGTAACAACTACGGCCGATGCACTTTTGGTATAAATTCCAATTCGCTCATATATGTCTATGTGACTGTGACGTTAAGTTACTCAGCTTAATAGTCATAATGTAGACTTTGTTGACAACATTCAATCAACATGTGAGGTAGTGGGAGTAAAATATGATTAGTCACTAAGCGTAAACAAACAGGCACTTAGCTTACTGACTATCAAATATGTGATTTCATTTCTTTACATTGATTTCTAATCCGGACTCACTAAGAGCGACTGCTTGTAACTGTATTGAGTAAAGCATCATATAGCGATACTTTGGTTCTCTATTCTAGACCGTGAATCATGTATCCGATACAAATGTGTTCCGTATTGTGTACCGTCCCAGTATCCAATCAAGCGCAGTATAGTATACCGCGAAGAGTCAGTCAGTCAGAAACAACGTGAAACTTCGTACGTACATACATCAGTTCAAGTTGCCTTGCCACATTAGCACAGAGATGCAGTTGTCGATTCAAATCCCGTAGTGGTAGAGGTAGTAAGAGTATAAAAAGTAATCGGAAAGGTTGGGGTTCGAAGATGTTATTCAACGAGTATAATCCAGTCAAATAAATTCGGAAAGAGAAAAAAAGAAAGGGACATGAAGAATTCAGAAGATTAGAATTTGGGCGAACACAAAGAGTGGATGCACCTGCACCATTGCAAACGATTTTGAGCCATGTCATTCAAGGTCTCCAACCATCGTTGCTATCGTCTCACGGATCCCAACCAGGCAGTTCACACTTACCAACATGGCTCAGTCCACTTAACAGTGACTTCGTGGATTTGTGTCATGTTTCGGTCTGGTAGCCTCTAGCTTTCTTCCAACCTACTCCTACATCATAAAACATCGCACGTCGAGGGTTGGACATTCGTAGCACGTGCCCCAGCCATTTCAATTGATGAAGTTTCACTACTTCATTAATTGATTTGCCATCCTTACCTAGTACCCGTTTCCTAAAAACTACATTACTTACTCGATGATCCCAAGATATACGAGCAATGTTTCGAAGACACCTATGACCGAATTTTATTTATTATTTATTTTAACACATAAATACTGGTACAAGGAGGCACCAAATACATATGCGCCACACAAATCTCATTTGATATGTGTGAGGACTGTGATACTGCCTGGGTGCCCAAACCAAAATAGGTGGTTTTCTGAGAGGGCCACACCCTGAGACTTCGACCTGAAGGTCTGATCCACAAGGCAGTGGAGCATAGTAAGGAGATGCAGTCCCATGGTAGCCGATGACAAACGATTGGTTCATACGCCATTTGTTCCTTTAGGATACTGGAGCCCATGTGCACCAGTGGTTTGGAATCAGGGTTTTCCAACTCCCCTAGGTGGACTCTTTATGTCCACCAACCCGGTTAAAGCTCTGGACATTCGTTTGTCGTCCTCTCAATTCCGTAAACAACACCCCTGCCACGAGAAGACAGTGAGTAGGACTTCCCTGCCACAGGCTATATACGCGTGGCCATGTGAGAGCATTTCAAGAGGCAGAGCGGAATCTCCCTACTCTCGGTCGTACCAGGGCGTTTGGGGTGAGTTTATGGCCGAATACTAGTAACCTAAGAATATCCTCTACTCTTACCAGTCATGTTTCACTGCCATAAAGTGGGACGGAACGAACTTCTGTGCAGTAAACACATCCTTTGATTGATAGACGGATATCTCTCCTACGCCACAAATGGCGCACGTCAGCAAAAGCTAGTCGAGCCTTCTGTATCCGTGCCGAGATTTCGTTACACACCAGACCACAAGGGCTGATGAGACTTCCAAAATAAGTGAAGCGGTCGACACGCTCAATTACTTCACTCCCTATTATTAGTTCGGGTGTCGATGCAACCCAATCCTGAAGCAACATTTTGCATTTCGAGGGGGAGAATCGCATCCCGAACATGCTTGCATTGTTGCTTAGAGTGGTCAGAAGACTCTGCATTTTGTCAGTGTCTTCACCAAATAAAACTATGTCATCTGCATATTCTAAGTCAACAAGTGAACCTCCTGGGAGAAGTTCAACCCCTGGAAATCTAGACGAGGAAAGTGTTATCTCTAAAAGTACGTCGACGACAAAGTTGAACAAGAATGGAGAGAGTGGGCAGTCCTGACGAACACCACTTGAGGTAATCAATTCTGATGACAGTTCGCCATAAGCTCTCACTCTACCAGTTGTGTTCGAGTAGAGAGCCTTTATAAGGTTAATGTACTTCTCTGGTACTCCTTTCAGTGACAAAAACTGCCATAGAAACTTACGATCAACAGAGTCGAATGCCGCCTTAAGGTCGAGAAATACTACGATTGTGGGGCGTCTGAATGTGTGTCTATGTTCTAGAACCTGACGTAGTGTGAATATCTGATCTATACAACCACGTCCAGGCCGAAAACCAGCCTGGTTTTCTCTAGTCTCCTCTTCACGAGCTTTGGTTAGGCGTCGAAGTATTATTGAAGCTAATATTTTAGACACTATATTAGTCAAACTGATTCCTCTGTGACTGTCACAAGAGGACTTTTGTCCTTTCTTATAGACTGGCACAATCAGTGATTGAGACCAATCAGATGGGATTACGTCCAGTTGCCAGATTCCACATAAGTCTATCTCACTGCTCATACTGGACCGCCATTTTTAAAAATCTCAAGGGTAAAACTGTCAGGGCCTGCTGCTCTCCCACGCTTCAGATTTCCTATAGCTTTTTTAACTTCGTAAGCAGTTGGAAGACTTGCTATTCAGGTTTGCGGGAAATTTTTATGACTTTATGTCCGGCTAGTTATCACGTGATTTATCCACCAACCAAAATACGACTTATACAATCTTAGCACGGTGCCAAACCAATAACGTTCGACCGGTATGAGCAGCCTAGCGTCCTTATTGATCCTATGTCCGCCTAGCCCGTCCACTTGAGTCCAGAACACCAATACCAGCTCCCACTATGGGAATCAAATTGAATCATTTATTTCAGACATACTGGATTTATCTATCAAACAAACAGACAGCAACACACCACAAAATAGGAAATAACATTCATACACAATAAAGCCAAAAAGTGGCTGTGAACGTGGGAGACAGTAGTCAATAAACTGAACATAGCTTACGAAGAGTAAATCGCACAATAATAAATTATCTAGGTCAAAATAAAGCTTATAACAAGGGGAATACAGATATACATAATCTATTTACTGAATATACACACCATAAGAATATATAAATAATGTTAGTTCATTAATAGGTCTCAGGAGTTTCTCGTACTTTAATCTTCACTAGGATATAACAGGGATCATGAGAAACCGAAGTGTGGCTGAAGATTAATTGAACTGATCCCTAGTGTTCTGCCCATCGATCCAATCTCCTGGATTGAGAATAAATAATATGTCCATTTTTTTCCGAAGTAGTTTCGTCAACAGTTGAGTTCCTAATACCAGTTTCCTTAACAAGTCTGAACAGTTATCTGCTGTTACCTATTGCCCCTGCCTTTTCCATCTTTCTTGCTTTCGCTACCTACCACTGTTCGTGATCATTGCGTAGGCTTCTTATCAGCCTACGCTTAAGCTGACTCCGCACTTCATCATATTCAGAGCCAGATGGGATGAGTTTTCGTGCATCTATCAGTGCGGTAGATGCTGATGAGATCCAGTGTTTCTCCTTAACCTTATGGTTTACCTTACTAGCAGACCACTGCTGTTTCCACAGCTTTTCGGATATCATTCCACGCTCCCTCAATGTGGGTATCACTTATATGGCTCCCTAACTGTTTTTCTAGTTGTTCCTGAAATATATTCTTAGCTTGGTTATCATTAATTAGGACCCTAAGAGGTTTCCTTGCAGCGTTCAGTAAGACGCAGACAAATACGTGCTCGCACTGGAGCATGATCTGAATCTAAGGCATATGTTCCAGAACGAGCGACAGTCTTCTGTAGAGCCTCTCCATCGGTGGCTGATAGCGATGTGATCTATGTCGGTCCAACGTTGGGACGAATTCAAGGGTCGCCATGTTAAAAGATGTTTTTCCTTATGCTTAAAGTTAGTATTTGCAAGAAACGGGCGGTTATCTGAGCATAGCTGTAACAGACGGTCGCTATTATCTGTTCTTTGAGCCATGATACCATTAGATCTACCCAGGTGTCTTTCCGTTTCGCTTAGTTTACCTACTTGAGCATTAAAGTCGCCAGTCACTATTGCTACATCAGAACGCCTAGTTTTTCGGAGAAGGTCGGAGAGCTTTCTGTAAAACTCATCTTTTACATCATCTGAGCTGCAGTCAGTGGGAGAGTAGGCAGAGACGATGAAGAGGCAATGACGAGTGTCCCTATCTTTCCTAGTCCTTACTGTTCCGTTTAGTCGGACAGCGCACAAACGACTGTCTACTTGGATCCAGTCTAAGAGAGCTAGTTCTGCCCGAGGGTTCGACGCTATACCTACACCAGCAAGGCCACGGGAAGCAGCATCAGGGCTTCTAGATACACGAAGCGTGAATCGAGATGGTTCTTTATTTTGATATAGTGAGGTCAAATGAATGACGCTACTCGGATTCTGTATGTGCGTTTCGGAAACGCAGCACACATTGACCGCAAAGAGAGAGAAAATATATATTTCGAACCAACCGTTATATCACAACAGTAAGAACTAAACAACATAAAACTGACTACTATTCGAAAACTGATTAGTGTAATGAATATAGTGGTAAAGACGAAACAGTCGACATTGCAGTATCATATTTTCGACTTAGATGATAACAATCTTTTTCCAAGGTAAACGCTGGCTGAGGTCGACAAATAATAGGATAGAATGAGCGTATAGAAAGCAACAAAGTTAGTGACTCTGGTGCACAAGAAACTGCAGAGTTACTTTTTAACTACATGTCATTATCTGTTATTACCTTTTCATGAAAATACATGTGGCAACTGAATTAGACATGATTAACTAAAACCATTATGTGCTACAACAGTATGAAATAAAACTAGTCTGTTACAAAGGTTAATAAAAATGGAAGACATTGACGTGACTTACTTGATTGCTGAACATAAGCGACTATCTAAATGTCGAAATGCATCAAGTTGAAAGACAACCTCTACTGCTAGTTCTAACTCTTCAGCAGACATTCCAACTTCATGAGGGCAATCATAACTAGTCTAAGTAAAGAAATAACAATAATCAAGTAGACATGAAATATTACTCTTATATGTTCCATTTCTTTGATAAAATTCACAGGAAATGTATCTGTCTCCATTTCTAAAGGATCCAGGCCATCGGAACCGTAACGGAATTGAATTATATCGCCCCGACTATCACGTACAGTATCATCGTAAGCCACAGCTAAATCTTCAAGAAACTATTTAGAAATACAGAAGGAAATAAAATCCGTATATAAAGAGAGGATGGAAATAAAATTATCTGATGTATGGGAAATATGAAATGTTTATGGCATTAAGCAGTAGGTACATGAAAGTTTCAGTAAAACAGATAAATGGTCGAAGCACTAATTTCCTTTATTTCGTTTCCCAGTATAATATAAATGACTATAAAAGTGTTATCCCTAGTATAATCTTTTTGAGGACAGGATAATATTTAATGAAGCATAATGTTCAATTCAGTGAAAACGAACAAACAATTTTACAGTTAATCAATGAATTGCAGAATCTTAACAAATCCCAAGGTGATAGGTTCCGGCATGATATGATACCCGTCAAACAATTGTTGATAGTCGAAGAATATTTGAATCAGTCTGATTTAAAGATCGATGAAATAGTTGCAGAGGCTGAAAGACTTCAGTAGAGTAAATCTTTTCTTTCTCTTCTTATTTTCCCTTTCAATTATTAAGAAACCTACATGCAATTCCTGATGCATACTTCTTATGCCTGTCCATATAAGTAGCACATAACACAGTGCTATGATGAGAATTACAATAAGACTAAACAATCAGCCAACTTATCTACACTGACCCACTTTTTTAATTATGATAACAAAAATCTACAAAATGATTATCATAAAGATCATCTGAAAAGCTGTAAAAATACCTTGACTAGTCTTCGTTGCATATAACCTGTATCTGCAGTTTTTACAGCAGTATCCGTCAATCCTTCACGACCACTCATAGCATGGAAAAAGAATTCAGATGGTGAAAGACCTGAATAAAAGCTATTTCCAACAAAACCTTTTGCTTCAGGTGTTCGTGAACCTGGAGGGAAATGAACTAGACTGCGTCCATTAATGACATCTGGAACACGTTTTCCACCAATTACTTGTTGGCCAACACAAGCAATCATTTGAGATATGTTGAGAAATGAACCTAAAAGAACAAAATAGGCAATTTAAATAAGGATTGCTAATATGAAGCAAAAGGAATTTCGGCGCACTAACCAATACAAGATGTTCATATATTATAGGAGGAAAGAATTCAACGTACCTTTTGACCCTGACTGAGCCATGACCAGTGGTGAGTTCGATGGGTGAAGCTGACGTTTACAAGCTGCTCCCGCTTCGTCACGAATTTTCGACAACTCTTGACTTATATTAGACTACATAAAATATGAAGTGAACGACAATATAGTAAAATATAACTAAGGCATTGAACGTGAGGAATAATGCACTTAAGGAGTTAAGTTAATTACTCAATGTTTTTATTTTGATACACAACACCATCCAACCAGATAAACAAAAAGACACCAACACAGAACCTAACAGAGTTGCGCGTTGACTCAAGTTGGTACACCACATTAGCGCGAGACGAAAATAACAAGATGAATAGCAAAAGAGATCTAAATAATGTAGAACCAATGATAGTAAGAAAAATTAGACGTTGTGAACACAATTCAATTTGAAACAGTTTAATAAGTACTTCCAGCTGACGAATCCCAAAAAAGACGAAACGCGAGTCGTGGATTCAGTCTTTAACCACAAATCGGGATTATCACGTGGACCACAACCAGGTAGTTTGGATGGCTCAAACCGACAATCAATGACCACATCATAGATAGATGTTGTCTTGGTTTCGCTAACAGGCACCGCGCGTTGAGGTATTCGGTGGTTAGGGATTTGTAAAAAAATGTCCTGACCATCTCAGTCGATGAAGATTTACAAACTCACCGAATGATTTACCCTATGTCTAACCTACTAATTGCTCACTCGTTCATTCCACGAAAAGCGAGTATTACTTTGAAGACATCGATGATAAAAAAACATTCATACTAATTATACCTTTTAATTTCATAGACCATGTTTTATAGTTATAAGTTAGAACAAAGCGAACTAATGTGCAGTCTATACATCCTTTGTTTGGCAGACGGATATCTTACCTAAGCTACAAGTGACGCAAGTTGAGGAAAGCCACACGACTTGAATGCCGAAAATCGCGTGCTACAATAACTATGTCTCAGTGCTTGGCTTTTTGAAGGAGCTCATGAAGTACCCCGCATAACGAATCTTTTACTTCATGTGAGCCAATTAGTGGGAGCATAAGTAGAAATGATGAAGAGGTAATAGGGTATCTCTATCTTACAGAGTTCTTACTGTGGTATTAAGGTGGACAGTACTCAAGAGACTATCTACAGGAATCCAGTCAAGAAGTGTTTGTTCGGCTTTCGAACTTAGTGGTATACTTACATTAGGACCGCAAGAGTTGCTGTCACGTCTCTATATACACGAATGGTATAGAGCGTCGGCTCCCGATACTGGTTAGGTGAGGTCGAACGAACGACTACGCTATGATCCTGTTTCGGAGACAGCCTGCATCGACGATACGAGGTTCCAAGATCTTCGCTAGAGACGAATGTTGCTGGATTTGATGTAGAGTTTGGACAGTAAAGGTAGTTTGAGGTCCAGTTTTAGAAGACCTGTTTGTTCCCAAGTACTAAATATAATTTAAAGATCCATGTACGCATACACTAGTGGGGAATAACTTAGCCATTCGATCTTAAACACGAAGGATAAATACATGTAGTATTACAAAATTCTATAAACGCAAAAAATCTATTTTATTTCCTCAAATTATTTATCTAAGCTTTTCTTAATTTTAGAGAAACAACAGATGACAATGTGTGCTTGGTTAGTCAATTAAGAATATTTCTATGATTAAATGTGATAAATATTTCAAAAATTTCCGTTACCAGCTAACATCGACTGAAAAACTACTAATTAACAGTGATTGTTTTGTTTTAGTTCAGAAAACTAGAAACGCACATAACGTTAAGTTGTTCGAAGGATGAAAAACGTAGTTTCGTATCTCGGTAAGAACATTTCAGTGTTGTGTCATTAAGCTGACAATGATCGCCATAGGAAATACGCGACTAATATCCATCTTGGATTGATCATTGAGTGTTCTACCACGCTTTAAGATCACATAATCTCTATCCCTTATAGGTTCTTTAAATAATGACAGCTGGTAACTATCTGGTTGGAGTCCGAGAGACGATAGCAACGATGGTTGGAGACCTTGAATGACATGGCTCAAAATCGTTTGCAATGGTGCAGGTGCATCCACTCTTTGTGTTCGCCCAAATTCTAATCTTCTGAATTCTTCATGTCCCTTTCTTTTTTTCTCTTTCCGAATTTATTTGACTGGATTATACTCGTTGAATAACATCTTCGAACCCCAACCTTTCCGATTACTTTTTATACTCTTACTACCTCTACCACTACGGGATTTGAATCGACAACTGCATCTCTGTGCTAATGTGGCAAGGCAACTTGAACTGATGTATGTACGTACGAAGTTTCACGTTGTTTCTGACTGACTGACTGAGCTGGTAACAAGTAATCTTCAGAACAATAAATTCATAATAAAAGCATCAATTTGAATAATAAATAATTTACTTCAAGCGTATCCTCCATACTACATCCTGGATTACAGACTAGTGTATTCATCTGATATTGATTGATATAATCATCACAGGTGGCAAATCTGAAATGTAAAAATCAGCAAGATCATCAAAATGATTTTATTTATGGTTAACTTGATAAATTAACTGCGTTATGTACATGTAGCATGCGGAATTAGTCATAAGAAGTTGTATGATAATATCACTCAAATTATTAGACTAAATTTACAAAAATGAGACAGTCCATGGTAGAATTATACCTATTCTTCATTTTATCAACATCAACCATATGTTAGTAGATGCTACCGAATTTGCTCACCAGAACAATCGTACCACATAGGTATCATTACCAAGGTTTGATAATTTCAAATAAATTTATTTATTTCTTTATTATTTATTTGAACACATAAATACTGGTACAAGGAGGCACCAAATACATATGCGCCACACAAATCTCATTTGATATGTGTGAGGACTGTGATACTGCCTGGGTGCCCAAACCGAAATAGGTGGTTTTCTTGGGCGGCCATGCCTGGAGCTTTCGACCTGAAGGTCTGATCCACAAGGCAGTGGAGCATAGTAAGGAGATGCAGTTCCATGGTAGCCGGTGACAAACGATTGGTTCATACGCCATTTGTCCCCGGACATTCGCTTTTCGTCCTCTCAATTCCGTAAACAACACCCCTGCCACGAGAAGGCAGTGAGTAGGACTTCCCTGCCAGAGGCTATATACGTGTGGTCATGCGAGAGCATTTCGAGAGGGAGAGAGGACTCTCCCCACTCTCGGCCGTACTAGGGAATTTGGGGGCAAATAAATTGAGCATTAGGCAGATTGTCATAAGTGAAAATAATATATTTTTAATATTCCAATGAGTAGAAAAGTTAGATTTTCTGACGTTTCGTGACTCAGTGTAAGCCACTTCAGAGAATAAATGACCAAAATAGTAATAGGTACCCTTCAAAGTTAGCTTACACTGAATCACGAAACGTCAGAAAATCTAATTAATCCTACCACATTATTATGCTTATACAGCCATCTATGAGAGCAATAGTAATCACTACTGGAATCTAAGTCTCAAACCGGTTGATATTTTGGAAGAAGTATTCTTAATTTACCATGAACAAATTTGTTATGAGGATAGTTTAAAGAGAGTCATTGATGGAACAATGGCTTATTGGTTAAAAAACTCAACTTTCAGCTAGTAATTGGCATGTTCGTGCCTAGCTCCGCCTACTTTGCTTAAGGCAGCTTTGTAGTATCACTAGTCCTCACATAAACTGTGTGGCTTAAAGCCGAATACAAAAAACCTGTACTTGGTGAATTAATTAAATTAAACATTGTTGATGGATACATCACCAAAACGAATAATATTATGGAATAAATGGAGTTTACAAGAAAATACAAACAATTTGAATTGATGAGTAAATTAAGCTTACCCACGACTAATCACTGCTGTTTTAGATGCAACAAGATCTGAGCTGGGCATTACTTCACCAAGTCCGATCGAAAAACCTCGATGTGCCAAGAAAAACAAAGCAATTCTTCCTAAACGCCACATAGCGTCCGCACAAGCTTCTCTACCATAATCTCGAAGTAATGTGTAGAATATACTTGACTTGCTTCCACCCCCAAGTAACTTTTTATCTACACATCCCGCAAGGAGCTCACTATTTTGAATTAGAACAACTGAAATACAGAAAAAGCCGTTTGCAAATATGCATCACAATGAAATGTTCTTGTAATGGCAAAGAGAGCAGTATTGATGAAAAATAATAATCATTGGGATAAATATGGCTTAATTAAATAAATATTGATTCATATATGATTCTCTACATCACTTATTGTCTAAGGGTTGATAATACTATCAATACTATCAGTCAAGAATAGGGATCTGAATAGTTAATTACTGTCCAGAGCCAAAAACAATGAAAGTTGATTCATAACCTCTTTTAGTCATTTTCACTAATTAACTAGATTAAGTATGGTTTTCTAAAGATGTTATGGAACTGTGAATCGGTAGTTTAAGTATTAAACAACTCAGTGCTGTTGACAAACTGTACACTAGGTGCCTCGGTTTGAACACCCAGGTAGTCACTTTGACTATTGTGTGAAAAAGTTTACTATAAACATTTTACTGAATTGCACTGTTATCAATAAGGTTTGATGACCTACAGTCTATTGTCGCCGAAATGTTTTAGTGTTAAATATCAGGAATTGGGCTAAAAAGATTCTGTAGATATTATTCAATATCTTAAGTTAAATTCAGACTTAATTTTCACTTACAACCATCATTTGGACACATTTCTGAACCTTTCGATGAATACATAGACTTTGTTGGTACCCGAAGGTTAACCTTAATTCCAGTGGATGGATGCGGTGAAAGAATGAGACCAAATATCTGTTTACCAGTCCATAGAGCAATAGGCTGAAATAAGTTTAATACACAATCGAGAAATAATCATTACAGCATAATGTCTATTGAAAATGGATCATACAATTTGATTTATGTATAAGAAATCAGGCACTTCTTTTAAGAACAATACTACTTGAAAAACCGTCTATGCATTCTTCTTAAACAAGTAACTCATAAGGTAAATAAGAGTGCGCTAAATAGCCCGTCTGATATTTATTAATGTTTTGGTTATACTGTTTTCACAAAATATTGGTTCAGTAATTAAAGGACTCTACTTTAAGGAATTGGGTTTCAAGTGCAAATTATGCCGTCCATACTTTAGTTTCAATAGTTAGGTAGCATCATTAGTCCTCATATAAAAGGTGTAGTTCAAAGCTAACCACACAAAATTATACTTGATTATCAACTTTTAAAAATACGATGTTTTCAAAGCTGTTTAATGGTGAAGTCATGAATAAATGTTATCTAAATCAAGTAAATAAAACCTATCAGTTATTAAATAATTGGATCTATATATTCATATTAAACAAACTTTAAGGTAAAAGGAAAAAAATTATATTTAATATGGTCTGGCCAACTTACCCATAATATAGCCGGTTTCGGTAAACTTAAAAGTCGACCCAAATGGTTACCAGCTAATAGTTGAGAGGCTAAAGTACAAGCCTGATCACGATTAAGGAAAACGTCTTTCAAGGTCAACAAATGTGTTGCAGTGATTAGGTCTTGAATTGGTGAAATTAATGGTTCACCATTTTTAGGGCTAACAATATTCTTGAGAGACTGTCAATGAAGATGTCAAAGAACAAAAAATTCAACAGGATACTTTAATGAAAGAAGCTATAAATGAACTGTGACGAGTATTTATATATGCAAATTACAGAACAAATAGTTCAAAGAGTGAATTCCCTTCAACTCAAATAAGGTTGTGCATTATAAAGAACTTCATTTTTAAATTGCCGATAGTTATAATGATACTAAAGGGGTAAACAGACAAGTGAAAAGGATATGTAACCTGAGTATCAGCTCCAGTTATCACACTTAATAACGGTACATGAAAGGGAGAGTAAACTAACAGTCCTTAATATTTTTATCATTGTTAATACTGTCATTGTTATATCAATTTCTCGTTTTATTTACAAAACAATTATCTTTCACTTTTGTATGGCATATCAAGATCTTTTGTGTTAAAATACATAATCAACTATACAATCGTAAAATAGTTGATTGTGAGATTCCAGCTTAGTGGTCTACAAGTTAAGCGTCAGTCAGTCAGTCAGTCAGCTACAACGTAGGACCAGGCACATATGTGCATCGGTCCAGGTTGCCATACCGCATCAGCACAACAAGATGAACACCGGATTCATAGCAGTGGTTAGGTCAAAGGTAGTAATATGTAAGAGAAAGATTGCATATAGAGATATAGTACAAGAAGAAAAAATTGGTTCGTAGAAAGAAAGATATGAAGCGATTTTAATCTCTTAGTTTAATGGAAGACAGGAAGTGTGTACACCGACGCCATTGTGATCGATTCTGAGCCATGTCACCAAGAGTCTCCAACCATTGGTTACGATAGTCACGCGGACCCCAACCAAGTAGTCTGTATCTACCAACATGGCTCACAACAGAAGTTAGTGACTTCAAGCACTGATGCCACGTTTTGGTTTGGCCGCCCCTAACCTTCTTCCAACCATCTCCAACACCGGTTAGCATTGCACGTCGTGGTAATCGGTGTTCAAGCATACGTAACACGTGGCCCAACCATCTCAGTCGATGAAGATTCATAACCGCATCAACTGATTTACCATCATTCCCTAATACCCTACGTCTAACCTCACTATTACTTACCCGGTGATCCCAGCAGATGCCAGCAATATTTCTAAGGCATCTGTGGTCAAATACTAGTAGCTTACGGGTGTCTTCTACTCTTAATGGCCATGTTTTGCTGCCGTAAATTAAAACAGAACGGACTGCCGCGCAGTATACTCGTCCTTTTATTGATAGACGGATATCTCGCCTTCGCCATAGGTGACGCAAGTTTGCAAAAGTCAAGCGAGCTTTTCGAATCCGTGCTGAGGTTTCGTCAGACACCAACCCATTAGGGCTGATCAGACTTCCAAGATAAGTGAAGTTGTCAACGCGTTCGACTACTTCACTCCCTATCCTTAGTTCAGGTGTTAACGCAGACCAGTCCTGAAGCAACAACTTGCATTTAGAGGGAGAGAAGCGCATTCCAAACATCCTGGCATTGTTGCTCAGTGCTACCAGAAGACTCTGCATTTTGTCAGCGTCTTCACCAAACAGGACTATGTCATCTGCGTATTCTAAGTCGATAAGTGGACCTCCTGGATGGAGATCAATACCCGAGAACTCAGTCGACGAGAAAGTTATTTCCATCAGTAGATCTATGATGAAGTTAAACAAAAATGGGGAAAGTGGACAGCCTTGACGGACACCACTTGAGGTTGCAAAAGTAGATGACAGTTCGCCATAAGCCCTGACTGGACTAGTAGTGTTCGAGTAAAGAGCCTTTACAAGGTTTATGTACTTCTGAGGTACGTCTTTCAATGACAGACACTGCCACAGAATCTCGCGGTCTACCGAGTCAAATGCTGCTTTTAAGTCAAGAAAGACCACCATTGTCGGACGCCGATAAGTATGCCTGTGTTCTAGAATCTGACGAATGGTGAATATGTGGTCGACGCAGCCACGACCAGGTCTAAAGCCAGCTTGGTTCTCTCGTGTTTGCAGTTCACGAGTCTTAGTTAGGCGTCTGATAATTATCGAGGCTAGTATTTTAGATAATATATTAGTTAAACTAATCCCTCTGTGGTTGTCACAGGATGATTTTGACCCTTTCTTATATATTGGGACGATAAGTGATTGTGACCAGTTAGATGGAATAACGTCTAACTCCCAGATCTTAGCTAAAATATTAGTCAACCTAATCGCTAAAATTGGACCACCATCCTTAAAGACCTCTGGAGCCAATCCATCTGGACCAGCTGCCCTTCCTCGTTTCAGATTAACTATAGCCTTTTGAACTTCAGCAAGAGTTGGGGGACCTACTTCAATGTTCCATTCACACTGTCTGGGAATGGAGGGTAGTTGTAGAGTAGCTGAAGGTCCGCTGAACTGTTCTTTGAAATGTTCCGCCCATCGTTCTAAACGCCTGGACTGGGAGCAGATGAGAGTATCGTCTTTTTCCGATATAATCTCACTTACACTTGACTTATTAATTCCAGTTTGTTTTATTAGTCTGTAAAGCTGTCTTGTGTTCCCTATAGTCGCCGCCTTTTCCATCTCTTTTGCTTTCGTTGCCCACCACTGCTCACGGTCGTTTCTTAGACTTTTTCTTAACCTAGGTCTGATTTGTTGTCGCTCTTTATCATGTTCGGAACCTGATGGGACGAGTTTGCGAGAATCCATCAGTGTGATAGACTTTGAAGAAATCCACTGGTTCTTTGAAACTCTGTGGTTTAAGTCACTAATAGATGTCACTGCTGTTTCCACAGCTGCCTGTATTTCATTCCAAGCAACAACTGGATCAGCCTCGTCTTCAGAACTACCTAATCGTGACCTCAGTTGTTCCTGGAACCTACTTTTGGTTTCCTCGCTACTCAGTTCGGTTCTAATGGGTCTTTTTACTGTGGCTTTTTTGCGTCCAGTGAGGCGCAAGCAGATGCGTGCCCGTATTAGGGCGTGGTCGGAGTCCAAGCAGGTACTCCAGAATGAGCGACAATCTTCTACCGACCCTCTCCAACGATGACTGATGGCAATATGGTCTATTTGAGTCCATCGTTGGTTTGGTGCAGGCGGTCGCCACGTTAGACGATGTCTCTCCTTATGCTTAAAATTTGTGTTTGCTAAAAATAAGCGATTGTCTGAACACAGTTGCAGCAGACGATCACCATTATCTGTTCGCTGTGCCGGCATGCTAAAATATCCACCTAAATGCCTTTCTGTTTGGTTTAAGCTACCTATCTGAGCATTAAAGTCACCCCCTACGAGTATTATGTCTGAGCGTTTAGCTTTCTGAAGAAGTTCAGAAAGCTTTCTGTAAAAGTTAAGCGTCCATTTGTAAGACCGGAGGTCCTGCGTCCGAGTCTCGAGTGCGGGATCGTGGATGCGCACTGCTGAGGGGTCCCATACTACGACCAAATGGTCGTCCAGTGCTTTCATGTTATCGATGACGGTCTAACTTAGACTGACCCGTGATTTCAACAGTAAGAATGATGTATCAATCAACATGTGTTATTATAAAAAAGAAAATAATACATCAGTCAGTAGAGATTAGAAGAGATTAAGTAGGACAGTAATTTTGTGATCATAATACTTGGCTTTCAACTATCTGGCTGAGTATTTGAATCCTGAGTTATCTAAATCAGACTTGACAGCTGAGCAGTATCACTAACCCTATGATAAAGAGTTCAGCTTATAATCAAGTATATGAAGCTAAACTTGATTATTTATGTTTGTTTTTTACAAGCTTAGTCAGATTGAATTGCAAGTTATCAACATACCAGTATGGTATAACAATAATAATAAACAAATATATTTGTAATATCCCAATGAGTAGAAAAATTATTATTATTATTATTAATATTAATAATAATAATAATAATAATAATAATAATAATAATAATAATAATAATAATATTGCAAAAGATACCGACATACCAGCATAAGATGTTTTGCTTCTGCACGAGCTGCTTCAGTTTGTGGAAGATGTATATTCATTTCATCCCCATCGAAATCTGCATTGAATGGTGTACAACAGCATGGATTGAAGCGAAAAGTTCGAAAAGGTTTTACAACCGCCTGAAGATAATCAGCAAAATAATTAACTCATAAAGCAACCAAATAGAAAATTTTATCAATCAAATAACAAAATTATCAGAAAAAAAACATCACAAAATCGCTATCTTTCAATCACATCACGAACAAAAGTAATAGTAGGCAGTTCCTGGTTAATTATCACATGTAAGCTTCTAACAAGTGGTTATCGTGAACCAGTAACCCAAAGATTTATATTTCACCGTTCAAAGTGTTGTATGTTTAGTTCTGGTTCCAGTAGAGGCATTAAAAGTTACTGAAATTTAACCAAATCGAACTGGTGAATCTCATATTTAACTTAGTTTCAGTCAGAACATAGGCATTACTAAGTGAGGAGTTCGAGAAGTCAGTCAGCTACAACGTAAGACCATGCACATATATGCATCGGTCCAAGTTGCCACATCTCATTAGCACAACAAGATGAATACCGGATTCATAAAAGTAGTTCATTCAGTTGTGATAATATATAAAAGAAAGATTGCAATAAGAATATAGTACAGGAAGAAAGATTTAGTACGTAGAAAGAAAGATATGAAGCGATTTTGATCTCTTAGTTTACAGGAAGACAAAGAGTGTATACACCTATGCCACTGTGATCAATTCTGAGCTATGTCACACAGAGTCTCCAACCATTGGTTATGATAGTCACGCGGACCCCAACCAAGTAGTCTGCATCTACCAACATGGCTCACAACAGAAGTTAGTGACCTCAAGTAATTAATTTATGAACTGAAGACACGTTTTGTTTTGGTCGCCCCTAACTTTCTTCCAACCATCTCCAACACTAGTCAGCATTGCGCGTCGTGATAATCGGTGTTCAAGCATACGTAACACGTGGCCCAACCATCTCAGTCGATGAAGATTCATAACCGCATCAACTGATTTACCATCATTCCCTAATACCCTACGTCTAACCTCACTATTACTTACCCGGTGATCCCAGCAGACGCCAGCAATATTTCTAATGCATCTGTGGTCAAATACTAGTAGCTTACGAGTGTCTTCTACTCTTAATGGCCATGTTTTGCTGCCGTAAATTAAAACAGAACGGACTGCCGCGCAGTATACTCGTCCTTTTATTGATAGACGGATATCTCGCCTTCGCCATAGGTGACGTAAGTTTGCAAAAGTCAAGCGAGCTTTTCGAATCCGTGCTGAGATTTCGTCCGATACCAACCCATTAGGGCTGATCAGACTTTCAAGGTAAGTGAAGTTTTCGATGTGTCTAACTACTTCACTATTTATCTTTAGTTCAAACATTGACCCAGTCCAGTCCAGGAGCAAAAACTTGGAGGAGAAAAGCATCCCAAACATTCTAGAATTGTTGCTCAGTGCTACCAAAAGACTGTATTTTATCACAATTTTGTCATCTGAAATATGTACAAAGTATGACAAGGACTACTTACTCTGAATGCTTGAATAGATACACGATGTAGTGAGGGTTGACGGTTAAATAGTACAATATCATCATCCAATAAGTGTCTTTCAACTATATCACCTGATTGTAAATATTTTGCCACATCTTCACGTGCACGTTCAGATGCCAAGAAACGTTTTACTACATCAGAAGTACCAGATGCTTCGGCTTGACGTTTCCTCTCACCACGTAGTTTATAACTAACAAACATAGCTCCAGGATAGTTATTTGGTCCATTTAGTACAAGAGATCGGAGAAAATTCAGATTGAAATCAGTCACACGTTCAGGATATGTTAGCAATTTTGCACAGTGAACTGGAATACATACCTGAAAAGTATAGTATACGCATTCTCTAGTTCACATATTTCAAATAACAATTACACATTTATGTGAATCTACTCCTGATCTGGACGTTCTCATAAAGCGATAAACACTGTATAAAGATGTTTCTATATCTGGCTATGACTGTTTTGTGAAAGAAGAGTTGTCCGAACCGAAATGAGTGGAATTAAATTGAGATAATCGTAAATAATAATAATGGTAGGAAAGTGTAGGTAATATTGCTGAAAATCAGCAGCAACAACTTCAATATTAGTTATTTCTGTCTTTCTAAACTTCGAAAATATTATTATTCTATACTTTTCACTTACAATTTCACTTATCTCTTTTGATATGTACAGTTGTCCATTGCTGCTAGCATTACTGTCCTCGCTAGTCTGCTTCTACTATCAGGCCTATTTTCGTATTGTTGTGAAGAGTAGCAACTTGAGTAGACACATGTTTACGTCAGATCCTACGCCGTCTATCGCATTAATGAAGTCCGAAATTACGATGTACTGGTTGGGAAATGAGTGCTATTTGTCACAAATGCAAAACATAGCACATTACACAGTCCTTATCAAAACTAGATATGCTTTCAAATATTTAAGGGATATTGTAGTCCCTAGTAGCTATAAAATAATGAAAGAAATAACCTAACTTTTAAAATCATATGATTTGGCACATGTTACCAGCTTTCTTTAATGTTGCTTGTCTAGGAATAAAATCCACAGAAACCCCTTCTGATAAAAATCAAAAATGTTGATATCGTGTCAAGACTAAAGATGATCTTTCTGAATTACTATGTAAGCAAAAAATGAGCTAAAAGTTAAGTTTATCACACCACATTCGGATAGAAAGAAAACAATATATTGTTAAATAAAAGTAATTTAGATACCATTAACATTACTCAATTCGATAGCCATTTATTGATTTATGTACCCATTCAATTTGAGAGTTAATGCTAATATCTAGTTGCTCAAATTAAAATGATGTTTACGTTTGAAAACTGTCGAAAATCGATTTTTAAAATTGTTGGATCTAAGCTGCAATATCCGAAAACATATCGTTTGTATACCTGGATAAGTTACTTTAGGAAAATTAGTGCCCGGAGTCCCTAATTATGAACAATTACCTGAACCATAATGGTACTCCTAAGGAAAATGTAAACTGCGCAATTTACTTAGATTTGTTTGTAATAAAACGATCTGTGATATCAACATAGTTGATGTTATTCGGTTACTTATATTACTCACTGGTATATCTTGATGGTGTATAATGCGTTTCCAGATGCCTAAATGTAACTTTTAACGGAAAATTTATCAGTTCAGTGAGGGATAAATTACGTAAAAAGATGAAAACACGAATTAGAAGAGTTATAAATAGTTCGACTACTTTCTGACGTGTTGAAAACAACTACCACATGAACTAAAGGTCTAAAAAAGTGTAGAAAATAAGCAAACCTCATCAATTCGCATATTTGGATCTGGTGAAATAACAGTTCTGGCGGTAAAATTCGTTCGTTTACCCAATAGGCTACCACGAAATCGACCATGTTTACCAGCTAGCCTTTGAAGTAAACCACGCATAAACTTATGATCTTGAACAGGAGGCAAACCTGATTGTTGTGAATTAATTAGCCGTGCAAATTCAGCGTGTAAGTTATCTAGGCACGCGATTTGATCCGCCTCCCCGATATCTTCTTCAATTGTTGCTGCCTGAGCTAATATCCATTGATACATTTGAGTAAGATCATCTTCATTACTTTAAAAAAGGAAATAATGATACAATGAACACCTGTATAGTAAAATGAATACTGGGAAACACAAATTTGCACTATATCTACAAAGAAAGGAAAAATATAGATATGGAGATATCATTACATCTGGATCCATAAACTATGCAAATTGGTACCCAGATGTGCTGTAATACTGAATTGATTGTACCGAGTAAATTAGGCAACATTTACCGATCGAAGTGGCACCACTGTGTAATGTATTCGACACAAACACATTCATAAAGCCAAAAAAAGCCTAGTATTGCACATGGCGAGACATTTTTGGTATTTACGTTCGAAAAATATCAAAGGCAGAAACTCCAAACGCAGGTTCCCGAGACATTTTGACAACAGATACCATCAAATCTGATCCCGAATTGTTAAAAGATAAGAATTTAAACTACTAAGATGCAGAAAACTACATATTATCCCTAGACAACTGCGTATAGTTGTGGTTCATATGTTTAATGATGCTACTTTTAAATATTAAGTAGTGGATTCAAACACACCATTACCTACCTATCGAACGAACTTTTGTCTATGACTTTGTCTCTGCACAGCTATCTTTAAGATTTTGAAATTAGTCTATAAATCAGGTCTTGCCATCCTCACACGTCAGCTTATATTAAATATCTATGATTGTTCAAAAGATGGGAAATGAGAGAATTTTAAACGCAGGACGGAAGATTTTGAAATGTTTTCCTTCAAAAGGTTAACTTCCCGAATGTTTAACAATAGTCATTAACTTTTCCATCTTCAGTTGTAAAAGCATTCTGATTCCCACGCAAAAATCTTTGTCAGTTATTTATTCTGCACTTTACTACTTGTTTGTCTGATTTGTGTTTGGACTAGTGAGGTAAGATAACTTACGGGCGAAGACTGAAATGTCTCGTCTTACTGGATTTGCTAATGTAACACATCCTGGAACCTCGCGGGTTACTGCTAGTCCCAAACTGGGGTAGAGGGTTGGATGTGAAATAAAGAACCCTAATACAAAAGATTTAACTAAAGGAAACCAACTGAAACCAACTCCGATAGCCAGAGCAACAACTAACATACGTATGTGGAATATCCGGAGGAAGTGGGATACAGGGAGGGCAATTCAAATACTGATAAAAATGAGAGGATACAACCTGCCCCTGCTTTCAATAAATGAAAACAATTATATCTAAGTTTAACAGGAAAAACTAACTTCATGAAAAAGATTTATTCTGGTCATGAAGAAGAAAGTGGGTCGCGAGCAGAAGCATTCACGGTAATGTCCAAAGAAGCACAAAAAGGGCTCATAGGGTAAGAAACGTACGGCTCCAGGATCATCAGATCATTCTTTAAAACAGAGAAGGAAAGGATTGGAACGAATTTCATCCAGTGCTATGCACACAAACGATAGGATTAAAGATTGTGAAGACGGTTTTATGAGAGGCTGGAGTTCATCTAACATAAATGTTTGGGAAAACACTTGATCATTTTGATGGCGGTCTGAACGCCAAGGTCGGGATGAATGACTCTGGGATCGAACTCATAATTGGGCGACATGAACTAGAAGAGATGAAAATGGTGCAAGTCTGACGAATCTATAAGCTTTTAACAACATGGTCACAGGTGATAGCGTTTAGCTCTAAAAGTGCATACACATCTATGTGGGTTTCATTGGACAACAGTGCAGAAAACCAGATGGATCATGGATCCAAAAATAAAAGAAATTCAGGTTCATGGAAGACGATACGGCTTTAGATTATACGCATGGAGATTTCTAAGCTGAAACTGAAGCTGAAGTCATTTGGACACTTGGGCGAGCAGCATTACAAAAATTTAGTACAGTCATCTTTAAAGATACCGACAAACAACGAATTCAACATAGCTCTCAGAAATATGTCCCAAGCCTTACAAACTCGAATTAAAGAAGGGGAAATCACTATGGAGAACAACTGAAAAGGGATTAAAAAATCAATGCCAGGAGGTGCTGGGCCACAAGGTCCATCAGCATGAGGAATGAACTTCCATAAATAGCCGGGAAGAAATTTGAGAAAAGCAAAATACGAAGATGAAAGTCAACAACAGTCAAACGGTAACAGAGAAAACCAAGGTACGCCGTGAGTGTGCAGAAACAACAAACGAGTACATAAGAGTACTAAAGACAAACGGGAATATGTAGAAAATCTAGCGATTACAGAAGAAAAAACGGTGAAAGGAAATATAAAGAAACCACATGATACAACCAAGAAACTTGGGGGGAAAAATATTAGACCAGAGCGACCAATCAAGAACAAAGGAGGTAAATCGGTTATTGAGGCTAAATAGCAGTGGAATAGGTTGGGTGAGAACTTTGGAGAGCTCTTGAACAGATCATCACTCCTGAACCTTCCGAACATTGAAGAAATTGGCAAAGCCATCAGATAAATCAAGAACGGTATAGCAACGTGACTAGAAAGTATATCAGCTGAAGTAATAATGTCGCATATAGAGGCAAGTACAACGGTGTTTCGTGTTCTCTTCAAACAGGTCTCGGAGGAATAGTAAGCACCGACAAACTGGGAACAGGGATAAATTGTAAAGATGATAAAGAAGAACGTTCTGAACACACAGAGCTCCTACGACGGACTGAATTACAAGGTCGTGCATGGAGAGCAGCTTGCAAGTGTATTTCAAGTGAGGACTGGTGTCAAAAGGGGTTGATAATTCCCATCTTTTCTTTTTCTGCTGGTTGTTGACTGAATTATGGCCACATCTCGAGAAGCATGGAATACAGTGGACACAGCTACATTTAGAGATGACTTAGCCCTATCATTGAATACACAGCAACAAATGCATGTGAAGATAGCTAGTGGAGCAGAGGCCTCTGCAGAACTAGGCCTCAACATGTACGAGGAAAAGAGAAACATCCTGAAGTACAACGCAGGGATCTCGAACCAAATCACACTCGATGATGAGACTCTGGAGGAGGCGGAAGCCATTTACGGGCCTAAGCAGCATCAATAATGGGCAAGAAGGATACGATATGAACGTGGAGGGAATTGACAAAGCAAAGACATTATTCTTGAAGTTGAAGATCTGGAGCTCAAAAGAACTGTTACACAAGACCAAGGTCAGAACTCTGACACCGTTAAAACTGAGCTAAAACTTAGAAGACTACCACCACCGCCACCAAAGCAGTAAAGGTATGTACGTAAATCCGTCTACGTAATACACTCTAGATTCATCGGCCAAAGATCATCAGGGACAAGATACCCTCGCGAAGAACAAACCAGCTGCCAGCTGAGGAAATTAGAAGACGCTGGAGGTGGATAAAGCACACTCCGCATAAACCATTAAAATGTATTACGCGGCAAGCCCAAGCTTGGAATTTTTAAGGGGAAAGGATAAGAGGTAAAGTAAAGAACATATGGCGCTGGGAATCAGAGGCAGACATTATGGCAATGAACACTTGACAACAACTGGAAAGAACCAAGGACCGATTTGGTTGAGGATCCCTGGTGGATGGCATATGCTCCGTGAGGGGTAGGAGGTTTAACTCACTGAGGTTCGTTAAGGTGCATCTGGCTTGCAAATGCATACAAGTGATATGCCAAATTAATTTTTTTTTAAAATTAGAAAGAGAACTTACGTTCCACTACGGACTTCGGAAACAACTGATGGTCTGATAGCACTTGGGCAGACAGGCACTCTCTGAACAATTAAGTTTCGTGGGTGAGTCATCCATTGAGAATCAGAAGGCATGAGAAGTAATGGCAAATCTTCTTCTGGAATTTTAGAAAACAATTGCAGAGCCTTTCCGGGTCGTATAATCTCCTAGAATTGCACGGAATAATTAGCTAAATTTTTACAAATATTAATGCAATACCTATGTATATTTTCGGCTTGTTAAGATTCTTAAAACATACCAGTAGCAACAAGATTCTTGGTTAATTTATAACTATGTGCTTAATACACTTTCAATTTACGCAGTGGGTGACGAACTGGGGGGGGGGGAAATTCTACTTTAATCAGTCTGTTGCTGAAAATCTACGATACCAAAGTATGGATCAACGAAGGTTAGGATACAAATTAAGCAGTGGTATATTAATAATCAGTGTTTGAAATATTTACTCTACCTACGGAAGAGGCTATGGAAGTAAAGACAGAATTAAGATTAGTATGAAAACTGTACTCATCTTAAAGATACTACGAAATAAACTAGGAACAGATTATCTCATGAAAAACGTTTGTGAGTACTATAAACTTACGCACCGCGTAACTAACATTTTAATATAAATAATAAAACAGTAGTTCTACAGTTATTTGCCGTTCTTCAGTATTCAGATGATTTAAACTATAGATACTAAGTACTGGATGTCGAACCTCTCCGGGATTCGACACAGTTGAACTGGTCAGCATGATTATACAATTATACGGCTTTACTGTCAACATGTCAAGATTGATTCTACGGATCCTTGAATGTTTTGGTATTTATGTCATCAGAATATGAATTGGCGAAACTTTGTGAGTATGGAAAACAGTTTACGTTCGAAGGTCCATATACAAACATCGAAGCACGAAATAAAGATATACTACAACGGACTCGTTCTTATAATCCAAATAATGGTTATGATGGAATTATCTAAAATGAAACAGCCACAAAACTTCACTATCTTGGTATTGAACGACGTGATAATTAATGTAATAAAAGTAGTAATCGAAATAGATACCTAGGTATACATAAGCCTTCAAAAGTACTATAAAGTGACTGTTAAGGGTGGCAAAACGAACTGAATTTTAGTAAACCAACCACAGCAAATAGCAACTTTTACACACTATAAATATTGTATACGAAAATAGTGACAACATTCAAATATACAGATCACATACCAAACCTTTACGAACAACTGGCGCTAACTCCGTATTTTCTGTGATTACTTTTGCGAAATCATTTACATAATCATCGACTTTTGCTTTTGCATGTCGAAATATATCATGAACGACGTACGAAAGACTCGTACCTTTCGTAACAACACCTACAAGAGCATAGAGAAAATAACAGGACAAACCATTAAGCGCTGAGCAGAACGGGCAGACATGTATCCTGCTAGACAATTTGTGTATCGCCTTTCTGAGTTGTTTTTTATGTACGTAGTCCAAACTTGAGTTAGAACAACTAATCAAAAACCTGGCACGTTGTTGCTCAGAGAGGAGAACACGCGAGCAAGTCTAATGGGTCGTTTTGAGTAAATAAATGATCTTACTTTGCAGATAGTCTGTAGTATTTTTACTATATGCCAAGTATATCCCACATGATAAATTGGCGTCGGTAAATCGAAGTACCCCCAATGACCAATACATGTTTGATAGTCCAAGCCACAAGTAGCGCACAGCTCATCTCTCTTATTTGCACCAAGTCTTGGATCTAAAAGACCGTAATCTAAGGCTCGTCTATTGCTTTGCCCTTCCGCATAGAGAAGACACTTTAGAACCTGAACGTGACTTAATCTTTTTAAGTCACCTTCATTGCACAGCTGAAATTTTATGTTCTCTCTGAAGAATTAAATTAGTCGGGAATACTACATACACAATCCTAGGTAAATCAGGGGGTTTGTACAGAGACGGCATTATGCACGTTGTACCGAACACATTACAAACCGCGCTGTTTCAGTTTCAGTTTCAGTTTGGGAAGGACAGGAGGCTCGATGGCCTATGTTAGTCCTGGCAATGGTGGTCTCTCAGTTGATCCAACTTTCTTTTAAAACAGTCGACGGATGGAGCCTCAACCACGTGCTGAGGTAGTGAATTCCACTCGTTGATGATTCGATGGGAAAGTCGATAGTCAGCTGACAAGTAATTTGTTCTCGGCTTATGAACTTTTTTGGAGTGTCCTCGTAAATTCTCTGTTTTGGAAGACAAGAAAAATGAGGGCATATCAGGTGCAAATTTATCACTAAGCAATTTGTAGACTGTAATCAAGTCGCCTCTAGTTCTGCGATATGACAACGGGAAAAGGTTCAGCTTGGCCAGTCGAGATTCATACGGAAGCTTCGCTATTGCGGGAACCAGCTTAGTCGCCATTCTCTGAACCTTTTCCAGAAGCTCTCTGTCTTTTTTAAAGCAGGGGCTAGCCGCTTGTATGCAGTACTCAAGTTTAGGACGAACGAACACTGTATACAAAGTCAAAAACGTCTTAGTGTCGACATGACTAAAAGCCCTACGTATTGACCATAACGTTCTAAAACTTTTGGAGGCTATTGCACGGCAGTGTGCAGTAGTCTTTAAGTCTTGACTAACGATAACTCCTAAGTCATTATATGTCTGGACGACAGGTAGCTCAGTGTTATTCATCGTGTATGTATCTGTGCCTTGATGACCGATATGCATCACCACACACTTGGAAGTATTTATCGGCAACTGCCATGTTTGAGACCATTCAGATAACTTCTTCAGGTCATTTTGAAGTTCTAAGCTATCACTCTTACATCGTATCGTTCTCCGTATCTTGACATCGTCAGCATATAGCAAGACCGATGATGATAGGAGACAAGGAAGATCATTTACATATAAGAGGAATAGCACTGGCCCCAAAACTGTACCCTGGGGCACTCCACTAAGCACAGTTTCCCAGCTAGATAACTTTGAGTTCACCCTTACTCTTTGTTGACGCCCAACTAAGAAGTCTTTTATCCACATCAATAAATTACCTCCAATCCCAACTTTTCTTAACTTATATAACAGCCGGTTGTGCGGAACTTTATCAAAAGCTTTACTGAAATCAATGAAGGCGACGTCTACAGGTAGCTTTTGGTCCTTAAGAGCACACCAGCTTTCACGAGCCACTAATAAGTTAGTGAGACAAGAATAACCTATTCTGAAGCCATGCTGCTTCTCCGAGAGGATCCGGTTTTTATCGAGATACTTAAACAGCTCCTTCCGAATAATCTTTTCTAATATTTTAACAACCACACTAGTTAGGCTAACGGGGCGGTAGTTCTCAGGTTTGTGTTTCGTGCCTGTTTTGAAGACAGGACTTACTATGGCGTTTTTCCAATCTTTCGGTAAGCGACCCTGCGTAACGGATAGGTTAAAGCATGTACTTAAAGGGTTCGCAACGAAGTTAGATAATTCCTTCAGTAGCCTAGGATGTAATTCATCGGGCCCCGTGGATTTACCTATGTCAAGCTTATTTAGCAGACCAAAGACATCGAGTTCTTTAATGGTCACGCTATCCAGTGTATGTATGGGGGGATCTGTATACGCTGACGAGAAGGGCGCTTCTATGGTATACACGTTGCTAAAGTAGTTCGAGAACGCTTGAGCCTTACCAAAGTCGTCCTCCACTAATGATGAAGCAGTACTGTCTCCCCATAGAGCAGGAATATTTCCTTTTCTCCTTGTCCTTTGGTTTATATAGGAATACAAGCGTTTAGGACATTCTATGGATTCCTTAACAAGTTTTTCTTCGTACAATTTTCTAGACTTACGGAGGGTCGAGGCACAAGTGTTCCGAGCCTTTCGATACTGAGATTTTGACTCATCAGTCCCCAGTAACCTAAATCTATCCCACGTTTTCCTTTTCTTACGGAGAAGGATACGGACCTCCCTACTGAACCATGGTGGTGAGTTTTTCGGCCCTTTTGGTATAGTCCAAGGGATGTGAGGTGTGGTAACTTTTAAGTATGATTTTCGAAATGTGTCCCAGGCCGTTTCAATGGAGGACTCTGGGTCTATTGTCCAATCTATTAACGATGCTGAGTGCATGATGTCTGGTATGTTTGCTTTCCAGACGTTGGGTCTGGACTGGACTGACGCGTCCTCATGACTGGCAGTTATATGGAAGTCGAAAGTTAAAACTGCGTGGTCACTTTTACCTAAGGGTGGCATATGGTGGAGGTTCGCAACATCATCCTCATAGTGAGTCAGTATAAGATCTAATAAGGATGATTCAGTGTCCGGGTCGTACCTAGTCGCTTCTTTCACATGTTGCACTAGGGCACATGTGATAACCGCATCAACTAGTTCCTGCTCAAAGGAATTTTCTGACGATTTAGTTCGCAGATTTTCCCAGTCTACCATTGGTGCATTAAAGTCCCCTAGGATTAGACATCGACCACTTTGGGACCAAGTATTGAGACTGCTTAACAGGACCTCATTTGCCTCACAGCTTGGACTGCGATAGACCAAACCAATCAGCAGCTCTTGTCCCTTGCATTTTAAGCGAAGACTAACTAATTCGCATGTCCCACTCTCATGGGATACACTATCGATAATGGTAAATGGGATAGCATTCCTAATGAATAGAGCTACTCCCCCTCCTTTGCGCTTTTGTGTTCTGTCGGCCCTTACTAACGTAAAGCCCTCGAAATCAAGTTCTATACTATCTATAGCCTGTGTCAGCCAGGTTTCTGTTACTGCGATTATATCTGGCTTTATAGAGTCAATCTGTACACCTAGTTCCGATCGCTTATTAAGTAAGCTTCGTGCATTGGTGTAACAGATCCGAAGCCTGTTTAGGTGCCTTCGTGCTTCACCCAGAGTGGCTTCGGCATCATTCTCTGTCGAAGTCTTACAACCCGAAAATTTACAATTTTCAGGTCCTTTTCGCCAGCGTCTAACCTATGTTGTAGTTCTTTCTCGGCTTCCCGTCTTTTAACACGGTCTGCCAACGGTAGGTCCTTTCGGATAAAGACTCCCGAACCCTTTAATTTGTGTCCATTTTGTAAAATTAGGTCACGTTCGTTTGAAGAGCCGAATACTACTTTAAGCAGTCTGGAATGATTTGGTTTCGAGTCCGTTAGACTCCCTAGTCTATACACCTTTAGCAAGGTGACCCCAGTCATATTTTGAGGCATGAGTTGATTAAGCAGCTGCCTAATCAGTACAATGTCATGCTCAAAACGAGCTTTAGGTTCAGAGCTATCGCTCTCCTTAATTCTATGAAAAATAGCTGATCTGTCGCTATGATCAGCTTTCGATTTTTCAACCACTTTTACGGGGGCAGGTTTCCCTTTTATGTCAATACTTTTCTTCCTTACAACCTTTACCCATTCGTTAACGCTGCTGGTAGAAGCAGTAGCAGTTGCGTCAAAACTAGTGTTGGGTTTTGGGGGGTTGTCGACGACCTGAGGGGTCGTGTTATGTTTACCAGTCGAAACCGATCGAGCCTTGCGATTGCGGCCCCTAGGTGTTTCCTGTTGGATCCCATCTGGGAGACGGGGAACAGAAGACCCTGCTTTTCTTGAGCTTTTTTTTAAGGCAGACCCCTTTGGATACTGCTTTTCCTTCTTCGACGGGCGTGAGTCATCTATCACCGGACTCACCTTAGTTTCCTTCACATTGATTTGCGTGTCAACAGATCGAGTGCTGTTTGACGCGTTCCGACTATGCTTGTTGAAACACTTCTTGGCAGCATCAACCAGTGAGATAGCCTCGGTTAACAAGCTGTTTGCATCCGAGCAGCACTGTTGACAAAGCCACACACAACCCTTCTTACTGAACCGTTTGAAAGCAGCAGGCGTTAAGTTCGTGCAAACTTCGTGGTACCAGCCTTTGCACTCGTCGCACTGCATGCCGCTTTCAACAGGATAACGACAACCCGGACGTTGGCAACTGCTTTTTTTACACTGTCCGGTCATTTAGGAGGGGTTTTTTCAATATGCGATGATACCCAGAAACAAAAAAATTATCAATGACCAAAAAAGTGAAGAGCTGTAGATTGCTAGGACCAAAAGTACTAACAGATACAGTTGAAAAAGTGGTACTAAAGAGTACCAACGACAAAACAGTAAAAACGATACTTTAGTCGAATACTTTAACTGAAATAAATTCAATTAAAGTGAAAAACAGTAGTCTTGATACGTAATAAACGATCAAAACAATGAAATTTACTCAGCGAGGAAAAATACCACTGTCCTTTTTAAATAGTGCTGTGATACCTCAAGCAATCAACTATGGTGAGTAGAAACAGAGAGGTGTTACTTACTTGAGGTTTGGGTCTAGGTTGTATAGTAGGTTATTTAAAAATGCAAGGGTATGTGAATACTTTATTATTCCGAAGATACTCCTCGATCCCAAGCGTCATAAAAAAATGCCGTATCGTCTTCTTGTTGGATGTTGTATATATAACCACATTTATGTCCAATATCTATTATTTGTTTTGCATCACTAGTGAATGTGCTTCATCTACAAACAGATCGGTACTTCCGTTACATTTTGGCGTGCAAATATCTACTGCTTATATAGTTCCCTTTTCTACTTGATTGACCACAGAATTTGACTGACGAGCGTGATAGTATCGTGTACCTCTTTAGACCGCTCTCCACTGCGTGGGACAATTGGCTTGGATTACCTACCAAAACTTTTATTGGCTCAATACTACTTTTAAGCGAACTCTTATAGTGGTGGTTACCCAACAAGGAACCATCAAGTATAACAGTTGTTATTATTTTATCTTTTAGTATACAAAATTTTGTGTAGTGTTATATATGCCGTTTGATCTGGGTACTGCTGTTCGGCTCTTTCTAGTTATTGTTCGTTTTGAATATCATCGCATCTTGATTAAGCTCTCGTCACTACATAGGTGATATTGCCGACCATGGAGGGTGACGACGGACCCCAAGGGACAACTGGTTGTGGCTGGTCGTACATATGGGAAGGTTTTGTGTTGGCTCCT